GGATGTCTGACATTTTGCAGCAGGACGACAAGATGCGCATGCTCGGGTGGTCCATAATGAGCACCTGTCCAGGTAGGTGGACAGACAGATGGACCCGTGGGCACCCACGCAGACAGAAGCTCCACAGCCGGCCCCAAGAGGGGAAGGGGCAGTGGGTGGAACTAAAAGTTTCAGGGGCCAGGTAGGCAAGTGAACCCACGTCCCATCCCCCCAATGCCACCCCTGGGGCCAACAGCCTTCCCAAGGGCCTCCCTAAGTCGGCTTGGGAGAGGGGCCGCCTGTGGGGACCCAGGGGCTCCTCCTCGTCCCTACCTTCCACTCCCCGTCCTTTTTGACACTCCGGATGACTCCGCTCAGAATTTCTGCGAGGAAGAGAGGAGAGCCCAGGGTGCCAGTCCTGCGGGCCTACACACCCTCTGAGGGCCGGACTCCTCCCCCAGCCCCTAGAGGCAGCTCCTGGCATTACCCCAATTTACAGGCCAGGAAACTGAGGATCCGAGGGGACAGGGAACTTGCCTAGGCGCTCTCAGAGCCTAAGCAGCGCAGAGATTGGGGCAAAAGTGGCCACTGAATAAGTACGTTTGAGATGCATTCATGCGTGGAAAAGCAGGGCTCAGCCTCCAGAGGAGGGCTTTCTGCTTCCTCATTGGTTAACGCCTCCGCTTTTTCTGCTGTGGGGCTTTCACCTCCTCCCCACTCCACCTCCACCAGCCCCCTTTACACTCAAACGCATGAGCCCGGTCATCCTAGCAACCTCTAAGGCTCAGTTTCCTCATCTGTTAAGTAGGATCACAGGTTCTGTCCCCCATGCTCTCCCTATTAACCCCTCTGCAGTGAGCCCCTTTTAGGGGTGGGAGTGCTTCTCTGAGGAAGTAGCTGGGAGAAGGGACGGGGTGGCCTCAACCGGCCCGGCCAGAGTCACGTCCACTGTTATCAGGACCGCAGGGGCGGAAGGAGCAGCTGGGCCGGAACTACTGGGGTGGGGGAGGGGCGTCCTCCCCCCTCCCCCCTAACCTGGGCCCCGGGCCCTGCTGAGAGGGGCTCCTGAGGATGAGGCCAGGGGGAAGGTGCCCCCGCACGATACTCCCGAGGGGGCTGGGCACGCCCCCCCAACCACCTGCAATAGCTGACCAACCAGCTCGCTATGGGGCCCCCAGGTCCAGCCCCGACCTTTGCCCTACTCTGAGATGCGGGAGCTGGGGAGGGAGTGGGGGGGCCCACCTGCACCCTCACCCTACAAGCCCCCTACGAGGCGTAGGAGTCGGGGCTCCAGTCTATGCCACCCCCTCCCTGCCCCTTTGGGTCCCCACTGGGTCCCCAGAGCCCAGGATCCCAACTTTGTCGGGGCGTCAGCTGGGACCTGGCCCCTGACCGCCCCCTCAAGAATCAGGACGCCAACTCCCCACCACTGGGGTCCTGGGCCTCCAGAGTCCCTGCGCTTCCCGCGCCCCAGATCCCCCGGGGAACCGGAGCCCCGCCCCAGAGGGGCACTCACTTTCCCCCACTACCGCCTTCAGCCCCGAGGGCGCCATCTTCCCCGATTCTCGGGGCTCGGGGTCTCCGCGCAGCAGCGCACCACGTCGCTCCCGCGCCCGGGACCGGGACCGGGACCCCCTCTCCTCTGCACCCTCAAAGTTTAGCAGCGGAAGCACCCGCAGGTTTGAACAACACTGACCAACTCAAGTTCACAGTAGAGCCGGGCGTCATCGCGGCGCCCGCCTGAGATCCCAGCTCCTCAGGGGGCTGAAGCCTCGGGGTCTCCGCGCAGCAGCGCACCACGTCGCTCCCGCGCCCGGGACCGGGACCGGGACCCCCTCTCCTCTGCACCCTCAAAGTTTAGCAGCGGAAGCACCCGCAGGTTTGAACAACACTGACCAACTCAAGTTCACAGTAGAGCCGGGCGTCATCGCGGCGCCCGCCTGAGATCCCAGCTCCTCAGGGGGCTGAAGCAGGAAGATTGCAAGTTCGAGGATAACCTGAGCAATGCGGGGAGACTGTCTGAAAATTAAATTTGAGAGGGGCTAAAGATGTAGCTCAATGAGTTGCCTAGCATGGGTCCAATCCCGGCATTAAAAAAAAAAAAAAAAAAGAAAGTCACAGGACACAGAATTTCAGGGCCTGCCCTTGTGGTTTCTCGGCAAAGGGGCGGGCTGGTGGTGCCCTGTCACCGAGAAGATACACTTGAGCAGTTCTCAGACAAATGGGGTCTTAGCTCCAACAGGTGACGTATGCGCATGCGGAGAATCCTGATGTGTGAATGAGTTCCTTCAACTAGACCATGGGTATCAATAACTTTCCAGGGCTGGGAACCTAGCTCAGTGGTACAGCACTTGCCTTACAAGATCGAGGGCCTGGGTTCAGTCCCCAGCACCGCCAGAAACAAGTGTCTCCCAGGTGCCCCAAGTCGCCCTCTGCCCCTTGTGAGACACACAGGCAGACCAGAAAGCCCGGGCACGTACAAAGCACGCCAGGGAGATAGAAAGGCTTCGCAGGCTCAGGCTCTGTCCCGTCCTGATGGAAGGCAGTGCTCTCCTGGGGGGTGTCCCAGAGGGCCTCGTGAGGGAGGGGTCTTTAGATTTATCCCTAAGTGGCAGCCACTGGGGGGGCACAGGCGAGAAGTGAGGTCACAGGAGTGGCAAGAGACGGACTTCTGAAAGTCAGACTAGCCCATCCCACTTTGCCCGGGGTTGAGGGGTTTCCCAGGACGTAGGACTTTCACTAGTAAAACTATGACAGTCACAGGCCAGCCAGAATGGGTGCCTGCCCTACATGGGAGTTTGGGCCTTTCCTTTCTTTTTCATTTTTTTGTCTTTATTTTTAAATTAATACTGGGGATTGAATCCAGAGCATTTGCACTGAGCTACTCCCCAACCCTTCTCTTATTTTTTGAGGCAGAGGAAGCAAGAAGGTGGGCCAGACACGAAAAGAGGGGAACTGAGCCACCTCCACGTCTCAGCCCGACCCTAGCAGTAAGAGTCCATGGGACCTGCCCCCCACTATACTCAGTGGGAGTGATCAGGGTTTTCCAATGGGCTGTGCTCCGACCCCAGGAGCCCCATCCCCAAATATATGCAGTTCTAAACCCCAGTATCTCAGAATATAACCTTTTTTGGAGGGCCAAAAATGAACAAGTGTGGGGCCGGGGATTTAGCTTAGTGGTGCTGCTGCCTGCCTCAAAAGCGAAAGGTCCCGAGTTCAATCCCCGGTACCCCCGCCCAAAAAAAATCCATTTTGGAAACAGGGTCATCACAGGTGAAATTAGTTAATATGAGGACATCCATCATAGAGGAGAGTAACCCCCTACTCCAAGGTGACTAGTGTCCCCATAAGATGGCCTTGTGGGGCTGGGGATGTAGCTCAGTGGTGCCATTGCCTGCCAACCAAACACAAGGTCCTGAGTTTGATCCCCGGTTCCAAAAAAAAAAGACGGCCTTGTGGCTGGGCATGGTGGTACATGTAGATACTCACCTCCTCTGGAGTTTAAGGCCTCCCCCTGGCGATTGAGCAAGACTCTGCCTCAAAATAAAATAAGACTGGGCTTGGTGGCACACACCTGTGATCCCAGCAGTCGGGAAGCTGAGGCAGAAGGATCACCATGTGTTCGAGCCCAGCCTGGACTACGTAGTAAGACCTGCCCCCGCAATGAAAACCAGAATAAAATAATAAAAGGGGCGAGTGTTAAAAGGGTCAGTGTTAGAGCGTCATCGTGTTCAATCCTCAGTACTGCAAAAGAAGGGGGAGGAGCTTATGAAAACAGGGACAGGAGGGGGAGGGCACGTGACCGCCCAGGCATAGAGTGAAGAGCCGAGGGTCACGCAGGAGGACAGCGGGCAACAACCAGAAGCTGGGGGTGGTGCGACACAAGTGTCAGAGGGAACACAGCCCTGCGACACCCTGATTTCCGGTCTGGGGTCCCCCGAACATTGAGACGCTAAACCTGTGTTGCTCTGAACCACCCGGTTTGTGGTACTGGTGCTGGCAGTCCCGGTGGTACTGGGACCATGGTGAGGTGGAGCGGATGGGGTCCAAGGTGGGGGTAACAGCAGCCCTAACTGATTTCCAGAAAGGCACCCCGGGGTGGGAACCGGGCTCCTGCAGCAGCCGCTGGGGGGTGAGGGCAGGGCTGCCCTCTCTCCCTGTTCTCACTCGGCTGCGGTGGGGATGGGTCCAGCTGGGTGACAGTGAACAGGAGGGCCCAGATTTTCTCAATTTGGATCTGGGATGAGTGGTCAGACCCTGGGGGTGGGGGGTGCTGCTGGCAGCAGATGCAGCTGGAGGAGCAGGGACAGACAGGGCTCCGGCTCCAGCTTAGATTTTCTCAATTTGGATCTGGGATGAGTGGTCAGACCCTGGGGGTGGGGGGTGCTGCTGGCAGCAGATGCAGCTGGAGGAGCAGGGACAGACAGGGCTCCTGGGCTCCAGCTGCCCTTCCAGCGGGTGGGGGAGGAGAGGTGGGTGGGGGCACAGCCTGCACTGATTCGCGTGGGGAGCTGCGGACCCGCCAGCCCGTTGGCCTGGCTCCTTCTGCACTTCAGTGGGGTCCTTCTGGCCAGTGACTTCTTCGGGGCCTGGGAGGTCCAAACCCAGGCCGCCTCTGCCCCCTGCCCCTACGCAAAGCCCGGCGTCCTTCCCTGCGAACAGTTATCTGGATCTTCTTTACGGGGCTTAAGCTTGGGTGGGAGCAGATGGAGAATGAGCTGGGGATTTGGGGTGGGTGTGGGTGTCCACGCCCCCACAGGCGGACTGTTTCAAATGCCCTTGCTGGGGAGGGGCTGGGGCGCAAAGTGGACGGAGTCCAGGAGAGGGACGATGACGGAACAGGATGAGAAGGGACAGAAGGGGGCTTTGTCCCCCCTGGGCAAGGTAAGTGGACCCTGCCCCTAGCCACCCCCAGCTTTGGGAGTTCTCAGAGCCTGCGACTGACAGGACTAGGGCACCTAATTAGCAAGCGAGTCTCCGGGGTCCCCTGACCCAGTTGCCACCGCAGGGAGCTACGGGTTGGTAGAGGGTCTGCGTGCACAGCCCCTGCCCCAGAGCATGGGGCAGGGCTCTCGGTGCCACCCCAGAAGGTGGGAGGTGCTAGGACTTAGAGGCAGCTCAGAGCCCAGGCCCCTGGGTCTGTGTCCGAACCCCAGGCCACCCCCAGTCAGGCCCCAATCTAGGGCAACGGGATGCTGTCGTGCACAGACGGTCCCTTGAGGTGGGACCACGTGAAGTGGTGCTGCGGGCCAGAGCCCCTGGGCTGGCGGGCGGGGATTGGGAAGGAGACTGTCTCATTCGGGAGCAGTTCTGCCGCGCAGCGCAGTGCAGCCTCGAGGACCATGGTGAGAGCTGAGGGCCCGAGGGCGGCCCCTGGACGAGCGGGGGTGGGAGCCAGCTGGGAGGGAGGGTCCCCAAATGGACCAAGTGTACCTCCTGCCCCCAGGCGGGCTCACCAGACCAGGAGGGCTTCTTCAACCTGCTGAGCCACGTGCAGGGCGACCGGATGGAGGAGCAGCGCTGCTCGCTGCAGGCTGGGCCGGGACAGAACCCCCAGAGCCGTGAGCCCGGGCATGGGGTTGCTGGGGGGCCCATGGGGCAGGGGCACAGGGTAGGGAAGATGACAGTGCCCACACCTCTGCTCCATGCAGAGGGTGACCCAGCGCCCGAGATGGACAGTCTCATGGATATACTGGCCAGCACCCAGGGCCGCCGCATGGACGACCAGCGTGTGATGGTCAGCGCCCTGCCTGGCTTCCAGCCCCTTGGCCCCAAGGTAGGAGAGGCTGGAAACACCTGCCGGGCCGTGCGCCAGAACCCAGCTGTTTGCAGCCAGGAGGGAATGGTTGCCCAGCTCCTCCTCTGTCCACCGTTTCCTGGGGGCGGAGTTGGAGAACTCATGGGTCTTGCTCCCCGCACCTGAGGGTTTTGGGGGAAGAGAACAGGGCCCCCTTTCTGGAGCGACTCCCTCAAGGAGGAGGGCAAGGGTATTACTCACAGGCCTGACACATCCCCACTCCGACCCACCTGTACACAGCCTGGGTTCTCATCAAGAGCCCGGTGAGACCCCCCAGACTCCCATCCTGACGGCAGGCAATTGAGGTAAACACAGGAGAATGCTTTACGGGGACAAAGAGGGCAGGCACACACCGGGAGGCGGAACACGGACTCAGCCCGTGTCTGCCGTGCACCGCTCGAGGTTCCCCCACATCTGGCCAACCCCTCTCTATCCACAGGATGGAGTGCAGAAACGAGCCGGGACCCTCAGCCCTCAGCCCCTGCTCACCCCCCAGGACCCTGCCTCGCTCAGCTTCCGCAGAAACAGCAGCCCCCAGCCCCAGACACAAGCCCCCTGAGGGTCTGAACCACCCTGGGCCCCGCTGGGCCCCCGAAAGCAGACAATAAACACTCGCTCGATCAACAAGGAATGGAGTCTGTGTTATTTGGTGAGCAGAGGGACCGGGGTGAAGTGCTTGGCGGGCTCAGGAGCTCCGCTGGGCGCCTCGAAGGAGTTTCTCCTCCCGCTGCTTCCGGATCCTCTCTTTGAATTTTTCTAGCTCTTGGCGCTGGAGGGCCGGGAAGGGAGTGGGACAGGAAGGAAGGTGGGGCACACACCTCAGGGTCTTGTCCCTGTCCCTGCCCTCAGCTTCAGAAGTGTCTACACCAGGAGCCCCACGCCAATGACAACCAGGGTCTAAGCAGGATCAGCTTGACCTTTCTGGGAAAAGGCAACGGGGAAACCACACTCTCCTCTGCCCTCAGTTCCACCCCGATTGAGGGTATAACTTTCACTAGACCTCATCATGGCCGTGGGGACCTAACATCCTCTATCCCGCTGGTAGGAGGAAAAATAGGTTCTTACCTGGCCCTCCTTCTCAGGCGGCCATAGCTCTCTCTGTGGGGACAAAGACACGACTGGGGGCAGGAGCCAGGAACCTCCAGCACCCAGTACCCTGGGCAGGGTTGCTTCACAGGAGGCAAGCAATGGCCCCCAGCGAGCTGATGCTCCGCCTTCCTCCCCATCCCCTAGAAGGAACCCGTGATCCCTCTCCCGATTCCCACCTTGCGCCGTATGACAGAACTCTCAAACCACTCGGCCTGATTGGAGATCCAGAACATAGCCACAGGGAAAGTGAGGTACACGATCATCTGCAAAGGCAGCGGGTGCGTGAGCGAAGGCGGGTTCCGCCACCCCCCGGGCGCCAGAGAGAGGCTGCCCAGAGCCCGCAGGCTCTCCTCGGACCTACTCCTCCGAACCCCGCCTGTTCTTCCAGTCCCCTTAATCCCGTGAGCCCCCTCTGAATATCCAAGAAACGCACACGAATGCACAGCCTCAGAGGACCTATTACGAAGACATCCCCTTACCCCATCACCACCACCACCTCGCCCTCCCAGTCGGAGCCCGGGAGCACCCCAAACGCCCACCCGCACCCCGAGGACCCATCTTCAACCTACTCCCCTAAGTCTAGGAGTCTCGCTCTCAGGACACGCGCCCGCCCGCCCCGAGCGCGAGGGCTCCTCCAGGATCTCAAGGCTGCTTTCCTCCAGCCCCTCTTTCGGTCACCCCTCCCCGACGCCCTAACTCAGTCAAGCCCTCTTTGACTTCCCACACCCAGAGGCTCCACTCCGAGCTCCCACGCTTTCTAACTGTAAAAGTCTCTCAAATTTCAAGCGCTTTCTCCCCAGGGCGCCCCTGTCTGCATTCACCCCTTTCCATAGCCTCATCCTTAAATCCAAGCTCTCAGACACCCCATCCACACCCTTGTGCTCACTAACCCGAAACACCTCCAGCTTCACCCCCATCTCGCTTCTCTCGGGCTACAGAGACACTTCCGCCCAAAGTCTGCCCTCCAACGAGACAGCAACTCATTGGTGTTTTGCGGTAGCGGGGGTGTAGCCGATTGGCCAATAAGCTACAGGATGACGCAATCTTCGGGCGCCTCTTTGCTTCGCTCGCTGGAGTCTTCTTCCCCAAAGTCAACAACGCCAGTCGCGCTGTCGAGAAAATGCAGCCAATAGAAAACAGGTATGCCGCGGAGAGGCGGGACTTCTGTGCCAAACGTCATAAGTACGCGACTCCTGCCTGTATCCGGAGGACCAGGAAAATGGTGGTGATGGCGCGCGTTTCGCGGCCCGAGAGGCCGGACCTTGTCTTTGTGAGTCCGCGGTGGGGCCAGGGGTTGCCTGCGTTTGGGCATCGAGAGACTTGGGTGCTGTGGGGGATCAGACCCTGGCCGCCTGAGGATGAACGCAAACCGTGCCTGCCCAATCACTGGGGCACTCTGAAAGCCCAGAGGCTGGAAGGTGATGTGATGCTCTCTCCGGGCTGACCAGAAATAAAGATCTGGTTTCCCAAGCCGTTCCCTGGTAGCTTGAGTTAAGGTAGAGGGCTTGATGTCTCGTCCCTGGACGGAAGCTGGGGAGTGGGTGTGAAAGGAAATCACATAACTGGGTCTTGATAGATAAAGAACTGGTGTTGGAAATAAAAGCACAGCGACTAGGTCAGGACTCGGATTTATAGGATGAAATCTAGGTGTTCTGGACAGCGGCCTAGGTCTGACTCAGGGCCTCACGGTCACGAGAGGTAAAGGCTTGGTGTTTGGGGCTGCCTCAGTTTTAGGAGGTGAAGTTCTCTGGAGTGTGAGGAAAAGACCTAGTGATCGTTTGGAGTTTGTTGGGCCATGGTCAGTGTCTTCAAAAGAGCTAAAGAAGATGCCTCCGGTAGGGGCCTGGTATATTTATCAGATTCTTGGTGTGCAGGGTTAAGGGCTCCGTGTTTGGTCCATACCTCTTCTTCTGAGATAAAGACTCAGCAATCAAGTTCTGGGGCAGAGTTGAGCTAGATTCTGGCTAGTGACATCCTGAGGGGATAGCACTTTTGTGTCTGGACCTAAGTGTCACTTGGGCTTGGAGTGAGGATGGGTCAGGCAGCGACAGTGGGAGCCTGAGGGACCAGAGACCTGTGATGCAGGAAGAGGTGTGTTGTGAGGAGGTAGGGCCCTGGTGTCTAAGGAGTCTGTTGATCTGAGAGTGGGTGGTGGGGTTTGGAGGGCCAAAGCCCAATGTCTGAGTAATAGTCTCATTGCCTGGCTTAGGCTAATGCCTGAGAAGTCTATCTGGATCCGACTCTGGGGAAGGTGAATTTGGGGCGCAGAGGTCCAAACCTGATTTCTGGGTGATTGGTGACCCAGCTTGCAACAGTGAGCATCGTGGTCTGGGATGGGACTAATAAGTTTGGAATTTGGGCCTGGACTCTAGGAATGGGGTGGGCTTAGGCTCTGGGGGTATGTTTCTCTTCCCCCCATTCCTCCGTCCTGGCAGGAGGAAGAGGACCTTCCTTATGAGGAGGAAATCATGCGGAACCAGTTCTCAGTGAAATGCTGGCTCCGCTACATCGAGTTCAAACAGGGGGCTCCAAAGCCTAGGCTCAACCAGCTGTACGAGCGGGCACTCAAGCTGCTGCCCTGTAGGTGGGTATCGAACTGGCTGCCTGCCCACGAGCCTCAGTAGAACTGGCAAGTGGGCGTTAAGTGATTGCTGTGTGCTCTGTCACCTGATGAGGCACACTCCCTCCCTCTTATCCTAGTTGTCCGTCTCCTTGACACTTACACATCCTCAGTCTCCTTTCTCCCCACAGTGACCTTCTGGGGCAGGGAGAAAGGTTCTGGGGGGCAGTGTAATACCCATCAGTGACTGTCCCCCGCCCCCTGCTGTACCTCAGCTACAAACTCTGGTACCGCTACCTGAAGGCACGCCGGGCACAGGTGAAGCATCGCTGTGTGACCGATCCCGCCTACGAAGATGTCAACAACTGCCATGAGAGAGCCTTTGTGTTCATGCACAAGGTGAGCAGCGGGACTGGGGCATGAGTGGGGCCCAGGAGGCCAGGGAGGTGGGCAGAGCAGGTGCCGGGCTCAGCACCGGAGGGGTGGAGGACTGGAGGCCTCTTGCGGCTGGGTGCAGGACGTGAACCCGGGAATTGGGGTTCTGTGCACTGCTGCCTGTATGCCCCGGTGTGGCTCAGCCATAAGACATCTGGTGTCGCTGGCCAGGCTGTGGGACCCAAGGCTCAGACCCGGCTGTCTCTCCCTTCCCACACTCGCAGATGCCCCGGCTGTGGCTAGATTATTGCCAGTTCCTGATGGACCAAGGGCGGGTCACACACACTCGCCGCACCTTTGACCGGGCGCTCCGGGCACTGCCCATCACACAGCACTCGCGCATCTGGCCCCTGTACCTGCGCTTCCTGCGTTCCCACTCACTGCCCGAGACAGCTGTGCGGGGCTACCGGCGCTTCCTCAAGGTGCGTCCATCCCGTGTGCCGTGGCAAGCTGGGACGCTAGCCCCGGGCACGATGTCCCCCGGCAGACGGGATGCAGGGAGAGGGCTCCTGTGACCCGTTCCTCTGCTTCCCAGATAGTTGGCTGGTGCCCGCTTGGCATCAGATGTGGGGAGAGGGTGCCGGGACGGTGCGGGAACTCGCAGTGTAGCAGGGTAGGCAGATGCACCGGAGCTGACCCCACGGGCCAGAGCAGAACCACAGTGGGGAGGTGGACGGAGCCATGGGAACGTGCACAGGCAGGGTTGGGAGTGGAGCTGTGGCTGCTGGTGCCCTTTAAAGGTGCAGACTCTCAGCACCTGCCAGGTGCGGTGAAAGCCTCTGCGGGTGCTCTTCAGGCAGGACTGGCTCTGGGCCAGGGCAGAGGTGGGTGGCAGGAGGGTGGAGTGGCCCTGCAGCCTGCTAACCTCTACCGGCGTGGCCGGGTCCCCAGCTGAGCCCCGAGAGTGCCGAGGAGTACATCGACTACCTCAGATCCAGCGACCGGCTGGACGAGGCCGCTCAGCGCCTGGCCACCGTGGTGAACGACGAGCGCTTCGTGTCCAAGGCTGGCAAGTCCAACTACCAGGTGAGCCGCGGGCGGCCGGGCAGGGCGCGGGGCCCTCCCTCGGCACCGCTGAGACGCCTCCCTCCCAACCCCACCCACAGCTGTGGCACGAGCTGTGCGACCTCATCTCCCAGAACCCGGACAAGGTCCAGTCCCTCAACGTGGACGCCATCATCCGAGGTGGCCTTACCCGCTTCACTGACCAGCTGGGCAAGCTCTGGTGCTCACTGGCCGACTACTACATCCGCAGTGGCCACTTCGAGAAGGTGCGCGTGCACTGCGCCCCCCCCCCCCCCCAGGGGACCGGGCCGCGCGGGTCTGACGCTGGGTGGGTGCGGCTGTGGAGTCCGGTGGGCACGGGGGCTGCAGAGCAAGCACGGAGCTGAGCTCAGGAGTCGTGTGGGGTGAAGCTGTGGGTGCCGGGGTGTCGCTGGTCACCGCCTGGCCATTACAGGTGCCAGGAGCTTCGTGAGGGTGTCTTGGTGGGACGCGGAGGTCACTGCTCAAGGCTGTCACTCGTGGTTGATCGAGGCAGCCCGCAGCTCCCCGGATCAGCCCGGCAGCACCAGCTCCACCCCATAGCTCTGCGCTGGGGTCACTGCTCAGAGCCTGCCGGCGCCGGGGAGACCCCGCGGTGACTGTAGTCTGGGCCGGGGCCGAGGGCACCGCTCCACGTCCCGCATCCCTGTCTGGACCCACCTGCCCCTCCCTGGCTGTCACAGGCTCCTGTCTCATCCCCGCCATCCCCACAGGCCCGAGACGTGTACGAGGAGGCCATCCGCACTGTGATGACAGTCCGCGACTTCACGCAGGTGTTCGACAGCTACGCCCAGTTCGAGGAGAGCATGATCGCGGCCAAGATGGAGACCGCCTCGGAGCTGGGGCGCGAGGAGGAGGGTGAGGGGCCTGGGGCCTGGAGGTGGTGGGACGGAGCCGTCGGCTCCCCACCGCTCGGCCCGGCCCTCACGAGCTTGTCCCTGGCTCACAGACGACGTGGACCTGGAGCTGCGCCTGGCACGGTTTGAGCACCTCATCAGCCGGCGGCCACTGCTGCTCAACAGCGTCCTGCTGCGCCAGAACCCGCACCATGTGCACGAGTGGCACAAGCGCGTGGCCCTGCACCAGGGCCGCCCCCGGGAGGTGTGTGACGGGCACCCTGACCCCCATCCACGGGGCCCCAGCTGCCCTGCCTGACCACGGATTCCTCCCCAGATCATCAACACCTACACGGAGGCCGTGCAGACCGTGGACCCCTTCAAGGCCACCGGCAAGCCTCACACCCTGTGGGTGGCGTTCGCCAAGTTTTACGAGGACAACGGGCAGCTGGACGATGTGAGTGCTGTGTGGTGTGTGTGACGCTCGCATGAGACCCAGGCGCTGGTGAGCGTGTGCAGCTGGGGTTGCCGGGCAGCAGCAGGGTCCCAGCCTGGACTGTGCCCTGCCATAGGCCCGCGTCATCCTGGAGAAGGCCACCAAGGTGAACTTCAAGCAGGTGGACGACCTGGCCAGTGTGTGGTGCCAGTGTGGGGAGCTGGAGCTGCGGCACGAGAACTACGACGAGGCCTTGCGGCTGCTGCGGGTGAGACTGGGCCGGGGTG